TATTGAGATTATTAATAATACTAGAATTTAAAAAAATATTGATTTTATCAAACGAAATGAAAGAGTTAAAATGTTTTCTTCACTTCTCAAGAAAGCTAGCACTTGCCCTAGCTTTGACATCAATGCCACTACAAATGATGGTCAGTCATTGCTTCATTGGGCATCATACAGTGGCAGTACATTACTAGTGAAAGCATTAGAAGAATATAATATCAATTGTACATTAACTAATGATGGTTTGTCTCCTGTACATTATGCTGCCTGGTCAGGTTCTACTAGTGTATTAAGTTATATCGTATCTCAGTATAATATCAATGCTAATGCTACTGATGGCTATACACCATTAGTTTACTCCTGCCGGTCAGGTAGTGTTAATTCTGTTAAATATCTTATTAATAATCATAACAGTGATCCTAATATCACTGATAAGTATGGTATGACATGTCTTCATCATTCTTGTCATCATGGTCATATTGATATCACTCAATATCTCATTGAGGTACAGCATTGTGATATTAATAAAACAGATAATTATGGATGCACGTTGGTACATCATGCTGCATGGAGTGGTAACTTTGATTTAGTTCAGTATCTTATTACTGAACAAGGTTTGTCTCCTACTGCAGTTACTAAAAATGGCCTCACTGCTTTACATTATGCCTCACTGTCTCTTAACTTATCTCTTGTTAAAGAATTAATAACTACCCATCAGTTAGATCCTCATCAAGCTGACAGTAATGGTAAGCTACCAATTCATTATGCTGCTGAATCTGGTGATATTTTACTACTGGAATTATATGTGAAGGATTACAAGTGTAGTCTGAGCCTTACAAATAACAAAGGTCAGAATGTTATTCATTTTTCATCATTAGAAGGTCACACTTACTTTATTAAATATCTGGTAGAGAATCATGAGTTAGATCTGTGTGCTGTGAATGATGAGGGAATGGCTCCTATTCACTTAGCATGTAGTAATGGAAAATTGAACTTGATCCAGTACATTATAGAACACATAGCATCATCACTTGAACTACGTCACAGTAAAGATGGTCGTACTCCATTCCTTATTGCAGTGTACTTCAATCAGTTAGAAGTTATTAAATATCTTATTAGTAAGAATTGTAATCTATCAGCTACCAATGCTAAAGGGTCTGGAGCAGTTCACATATCAGTAAAGAGGAGTCACTTGAATGTATTGAAGAATCTCATTGATGATAATTATTGTAATCCTAACGCAACTGATCATCAAGACTGTACACCACTACATGTTGCTGTAGCAGATAACAAATATGAAATATTAGAATATTTACTGAGTAAGAGTATACCCTCAATGAGTGTTGTCTGGTTACGTGAGATAAAGTGTGTATTAGACAGTCCTCATGACATATACAATAATCCACATAATGCTGTACTTATTAATGTACAAGATAAAGATGGTAATACACCATTACATGTAGCCTGTCAACATAGACAACAGAATATGGTATCACTATTACTAAAAGCCAGTCTGTCTAACAATAACTTATTAATTACTAACAAGAAAGGACAGACACCATTACACTTAGCAGCTGCCTCTGGTGATAAGGATACTGCTGAAGCTTTACTGTTCTCAGTCACTGGTAGTTCTACTCATCATGATCTCCTTACAGCTACTGATAATGAAGGATCCACTGTATTACATACAGCTTGCATTAATGGCCATACTGATGTGTTTAATTATTTATCCAGTATTTATCCTCAAGATGTTAATGCAGTAGATAATAGAGGACATGGTTTACTTCATGCAGCATGTGAGGGAGGAGATATTGGAATAGTAAGAACACTCATTGAGACACATGGACTGGATCCTTTAGCAGAAGATGAAGATGGCATCACCTGCTTACACTTAATAGCAAAGAGAAAGGAATTATTATTTGATTTTTTAATGGATACTCCAGTTGATGTATACCAGTATTTGGAACCAAACATTGTCTCTAATCCAGTACCTAAAGACAAGTTTGGTCGCACTCCTCTTCATTATGCTTCTCATTCTGATAATATTCGTATGGTACGTTATCTCATAGAGACCTTCCCCTGTACTCCTGATGATCCTGATAAAAATGGATACACTTCAGTTCATGGAGCATGTGAAGCTGGTAGTATGGAGTTAGTACAATACTTTCTAACTGATCTCAAATATAATGCACTAGCTGAAACTGATGATTGTAAAACCATGCTTTATTTTGCTAGTAAGAGTTCTAATTTAGAGCTTGTTCAGTTTTTAGTTGATGTATTCAGTTTAAAACCTCGTCCACACGATATTGAAATAGCTCAATCAGTTAATCCTGATTCATCAGTAGTTAAATATCTTCAAGAGATACATTATGATTTATTTCTTTTAGAACAAAGGAAAGTGAGTGGATATCATGAAAAACTTGAAGGACAACAAGTTGACCCACCAGGACAAGATATTGTATCTTAAACACAACCTTATCACCATATCACCACCTTATCACTCCATTGTATGTAACCTATCACCATATTACCAATACACCATCTTACTACAGCACCATATGTAACCTATCACCATTACACCATCATACCTATCCTACCACCTTATACCCACAATGGTTACCAAAATCACCAATCCTATACAATATCATATCTTATACACCATCTTACCATTACACCTATCACCACCTTATCACCATCCCACCACCTTACATACCATTGTACTATTACACCATACACCAATGGCTACCAATATCACCTATACAATACTTGCGTAATATCTTAACTTGTATCAAAATAAATCTTAACACCTTTATACTAGTTTGACATTTAACCACCATTGTCATCTTATCATTACCATGTACACCAAAGACATGCAATATAATCCATTACCATTGTACCACCATATTACCATCGCAACCACCTTACCAGTTATCACCATTACACCATATACCCACACATACACCCCAATGGTTACCAATATCACCAATCCTTCTTCTTTAATATTATTCTCCATTAACATGTATCACTGGAGCTACTCTTTGCTTTCTTTTGTTAGTCTTCCCTTTCTTCCCTAATTAATAAATTGTTTTATTATAGCATGTACACATGTACCGTTATTTTGTACTTACACTTAATTTGTTATTATTATTATTGTTGTTGCTGTTGTTATTGTATTTTGATGTACTTTTATTATGAAACAATAGCATTAAATTTTCTTTTTGACGTTTTAATAAATTTTTAATATATTTTATAAAATTAAAGTTAAATAAGTCAACAATTTTATTCTAGCTCTCCTGCCACAGTGGACTTAAGTGATTACGTCTGGACATTCAAGAACTGCTTGAATTGGATGTGATTCTCCACTGGTCAGTGCAGCTCCAAAATCAGCAAGATGTGTAGGATCATCTATAACTCTTTTACCAGCCTGACTCTCTGTGAGACAAGAGGATCATGCAATAAAAATGTACTATAGCCCATGGTTTTTCCAAAAAATGGCTCCAAAATCACCTCAAATTTTATTACACTTTCTGATACATATTGATGTACTAATGCTACGTAGAAAGTTTGAGCCAATTCCAGGGTTAAATTTTTGAGTTAGAGCCATGTAAAAAATGAGCAAATTTCAAAAACTTTCCCTGTACTATAGCCTATAGTTTTCCAAAAGATCATTAATTCCAACAAAAGAAAAGACTATGCAACATATATTGCATACATTACACAGTTTATACAAATGTCAATTCACTGTACTATCATAC